GAAGCCTCGGCTTTATTGGAAGAGCACTTTGAGGGAGATGAATCATGATGTTGTGACATCTTTGAAAAGTTTTGAACAACGAGATGGAGAATATCAAGGGTTCTTTTTCTATAAAGGAGAATTAAGATGTTGTGAAAATAGAATGAGGTAATGTCACAGCGTATGGGAGAGTATTTGAGATAGTCTTGAAATGATTGCTTACAAAATTGTATTTGTTGGAAACATATATAATATAATATCACTTTAATGATATTCCCACACGCCCTTAATTTCTACAAACCCTTATATATGCAGATCCCTAGTTTTCCTCTTAAGTTCTCAAACAGATTTGCATCCAAAGCCTTTGTGAAAATTTCAGCCATTTGTAATTAAGTATCTACATGTTATAAGGCAACAATCTTTTCTTCTACAAGCTCTCTTATGAAGTGATGACAAATATCAATATGTTTGGTCCTACTGTGTTGAATATGATTTTTTTATATATTTATGGCACTTAGATTGTCACAGAATAATGTCATGACATCTTGTTTGACATTATATTCTGTTTATATTTATTTCATCCAAACCAACTGAGAACAACTACTTCCTACAACAATATACTCAGCCTCAGCAGTGGATAGAGACACACAATATTACTTCTTACTGAACTAAGATATGAGATTATTTCCCAGAAAGAAACATCCTCTTGATGTACTTTTTCTATCTTCAGCACCTCCTGCCCAATCAGCATCACAATAACCAATTATGGCAGAGCTAGATCCATGAGAATATAGCATATCATAGTTACTTGTCCCATTCACATATTTAAGAATTCTCTTCACATGGTTGGCATGTCTAACTTTAAGACCGGCTTGATATCTAGCACACACCCCTACAGCAAAGGCAATGTCAGGTATGCTAGCTGTGAGGTATAGAAGGTTGTCTATCATACTTCTGTAAAGACTTTGATCCATACTTACTTCTTATCTAGCCTTTGACAACTTCAAATGTGTGGGAGCAGGTGTTCTTTTGTGACTGGCATTTTCCATCCCAAATTTCTTTACTATATTCTTCGCATACTTGATCTGAGATAAGAATATGGAATCTTCTATTTGTTTAACTTGCAGACCAAGAAAGTAGGTTAATTCACCAACAAGGCTCATCTTAGATTCTGACTGCATTTGCTTGACAAAATGTTGAACCATCTCATTTGACATCCCACCAAACATCATATCATCAACATAAATCTATGCAATCTTGATCTTCCCTTCTTCTTCCTTGACAAAAAGAGTTTTGTCTATGCCATCTTTCCTATATCTATTCTCTCTAGGACTGGGATTTCTCTTTGATGTGATTAACCTTTTTCTTGCCATGATGTTTTCCATGATGTCTAGACATTTGATTAGACATATTTGGTTTAGACTTGGCATGAGTGGAATCTAATGAAGGTTCTTCTGAATTTGGTTCCTTTATCTCATTAAACCTTATGTCACTCTTGCCTCCTATCACTCTTCCTGCTTAAAGAATTTTATCTGTGTCAGACCCATTATTCAGCATCTTGAGAGATTTGACCATTCTATCAAGCTTTGAATTCAGAGAAGTCACTTCACTTTCTAGATTATAAATGGTTTTCAGATGCTCTTCCCTTTCTACCTTCAGCTGAGTTATGAGGACTTTCTGTTTCTCTCCTTCTTGGCACACTTCTGCACTTCTAAGGCATAATTCTGTATGAAGCAACTAACTCATCAAAGGTTAGTTCCCCATCACTAGACTCTTCATCAAAGACATATTTTCCTAGATTTAACATGCTTGGCAGATTCTTCAAGATCACTCTCTGAGTCCTCTTCAGACCAAGTGATAGATAGATTCTTCTTCTGTTTCTTAAGATATATAGGACATTCAACTCTAATGTGACCAAAGCCTTCACATTCATGACATTGTATTCCATTCCCTTGCGTGGATTTTTCTTCATCCCTTTTTCTTCCACACTCATTTGACTTGTGGATGTCAGATGAGATGTCCTTGACATTTGATCTTGGGTTCCTATCCATTCTTTTTTATCACTTTTTACAACTTTTTTCCAAGCATAACTAAGGAATTTGATATTCCTCAATCTGTATCCAGATCACAGTCCTCTTCTTCATCTTCAATATTTGATACAAATGATATGCTTTTGTTCTTCTTTTCAGATCTTTCATTGATGCTTAATTCAAATGTTAGAAGTGATCCAACAAGTTCATCCACTTTCATTTTGTCAATGTCTTGAGCTTCTTCTATAGCAGTCACTTTCATATCAAATCTCTTGGGAAGTGACCTGAGCATCTTTCTCACCAATTTATATTCAGGTATCTTCTCTCCTAAGGCACTGGATGCATTAGCAATCTCAAGAATGTTCATATGGAAGTCATTAATACTTTCTTCATCATTCATTCTTAGATTCTCAAATTTTGTGGTGAGCAACTGAAGTCTTGACATCTTAACTTTGGATGTGCCTTCATGAGTAGATTGAAGAATTCCCCCTGCATCCTTAGCTACTTCACATGTGTTCACTAATCTGAAAATGTTCTTGTCAATTCCATTAAATATAGCATTCAAGGCTTTAGAATTACCAAGAGAAACTTCATCTTCTTATTTAGACCAATCTTCTTCTAGTTTTAACTCAGAAGTAGGTTCTCCATTTTCTCCCAATTTGACAGGGCGTTTCCATCCTTTTAAGACAGCTTTCCAAGCTCTGCTGTCAAGAGACTTTAGAAATGCCACCATACGTGGTTTCCAATAGTCATAATTACTTCCATGCATAATGGGTGGCCTGTTCACAAATCCTCCTTCCTTGTCCATAGTACCATAAAGTATCTTCCCTGGATCTCACCCAGATATAGAGCAGGATGTCTACTCGGATACCAATTGAAATTATGGTATCAGATATGTGATGTCGAAGGAGATGTCACGACACAAATAGATGAGGACAATGTAAAGTGAAACAATAATAAAAGCAGTAAAAACACAAAGGATTGCTAACCCAGTTCAATGTACAACAACACCTACTCTAAGGGCTACCAAGTCAGGGACAAGTCTACTAAATAGTATCAATTAATAGATCCTCAGTAAACAACCAGTTTACAATCTAATCACTTAATTACTACCCGTGTTATACTTCTATCTAAGATACACCTAGGTATGAGGCCCTCCTCAAATCCCTTCAATCACTAAAAGTGAAAAACAACATAATTATTAAGTTATAAAGACTTCAATCATTCAATACTTAAAAGCTTATGAATGATCCACAATTAACAACTCAAATAACAACTCAAGTATTAATCCAATACTATAGTGTATTACAATTAAAAGACTTAGGCTTCTAAAACAGAAAAAATATATTCTTCTTCAAAAGTTGCAGTTCAATGAATAAGGATGCAGGTCCTAGGCGCGGTAGTGGGCTTGGACTGAAAAACAAATATTCCAATCTTTTAAATATTTCCATGAAAACAGGACAAGATATAATCCATAAGGATAATTTAAATATAAAAATATTCCTCCATATTTTTCACAAGCTATGAGTCACAAATCCTGAAAAATGACGGGCATAAAAATAGGAAACAGAAGAGTTAGACAGATATGTAGTTGCGTTCAGCTCAGGAGGCAGATGTTAAGACATCTACTTTGACATCATTCACAACAGTTTTCTTCAAATGTCAAGATATTTAGCAAAATATTATCAACTCATTGTTTTACCAAAATTACTGCCAATAAACACTTACAAAAGTCTACAATATTGACGTCTATCAGGTGTTGTTTGGAAGAGTTGCCATTCTTTACCCTTTTCAATTATGTTGTAGAGCTTTATGTATCTGATGGGCTCCCATTAGGTCGACGCATATAGTTACTGGCTCATTGGGAATGTTGTGGTATTTTATCTTCAGGTAGACGGGGGAAGCCCTGATACTGAGAGTTGTAGAGAAAGACTTTCCTAAAATACCATTGTAAACACTTTTACATGGGACAACCAGAAACTGAACATCTATTGTCTTTGCCTCTCTTTCTTCCCTGAAAGTAACCATAAGCTATATGTAGCTCCCATCGAGCCTTTGAGTGCGTGCAATTTGGTGCCTATGTAAGGTAATAAATTCTCCCTCTTTAAGTTTACTTTCTCAAAATGTTTGATGTACATAATATTTCATGAGCTACCCGTATAAATTTGGATTCTTGATATCTCAAAATTGACTATTGCAACTGTAATTACCAACGAAAAGACCTCATTGGGAACGCCGTCCACTTACTCATTGTCTTCAAGCCCTAGGACGTGCCTCTCGTTTGTTGACGTTTCCCCTTTCCTACTCTCTACTTCCAACTCTGCAATTTATCTTTTCGCAATCCCCTTCGATGTTGCTTATATGTGGTAAACCTCTAGAGATAGACGCAACAAACAGTTCTTTTCCTCGTTGAGTGCGACATGAGATAATCACTGGAGTGATTCCAAGATAACCGTGTTGCAGTATCCTTAGCTAAGTCACACTTATATTATAGATATTCATAACAAGTTCTTTTACACCATACATCCCTAACGCGACTTCGAGATTCCGAGACACATTTAACTCTAAATTGCTATTGAAACAATTGGTTGTATTATTAAAATTAAAATGAAAATCTTAAATTTACTAAAAAAAAAACTACATTATTAAAAATATAAAATTAATCATAATGACTGTATTATCAAAAAATAGTACTAACCTTTAAAAAGTTATTAATGAATCTTAATAGTTAATACTGTATTATTAAAATTAAAATCAAAATCTTATAATATCCATAGACAAATCACCTCACATGCTAGTCCAACTTGTTAAGTAATTGTTTATAATTTTTTCTGATAATCTTCCAAATTCTACAAGCAAGCGGTGATTCATATTTGGACGTTTTCTCAGATCCTTAAATAATATAACTATAACTCAGATTCAGTCCAGATTCACTTCATTCATTCTTCTTCTTCGTTCTCTTTTGTAGAAAGTTTCAATTTTTCATCAAAAATGGCAACTTTAAGCATGACCCAGATAAGGACTGGGAATTATACATCTGGGTTTTCGTTGAATTGTCGTAAGAAGGTTTATGTTCGTCCTAGTAGAGTTGGGTTTAAGGTTTTTGGTTCTGGGAGTCAATCATCTTCGGAGCCTGATCTTAGTGTTACTGTTAATGGTTTGCATATGCCCAATCCATTTGTTATTGGATCAGGTCCACCTGGTACTAATTATACTGTCATGAAAAGAGCTTTCGATGAAGGTTGGGGTGCTGTCATTGCTAAAACTGTAAGCTTTTGATTTGTAACTTACTTGTATAGTGCATTGGATTGATTTGATTCTAGATTAGTTTTTAGTGATTGATTTGTTGGTAGGGGTGAGTTTGTGTTGGTATTAGTAATGCATGTAGATGGAACTTAAGGATGTGTTTGAATTGATGGAATCAGATGGAGTGGAGTGGAATGAGACGGAACAAAGTGATATTTCATTGGATCATTTAAATTCGGATGGAGGAGCCGAATGAAGTGGTATGAATAACATGTCATCACTTACCACCATATTTATTCCACTCTAATTCGGGACGGGAGGAATTTGACTTGTTCCGTCCTAAAACTTTGAGTGATGGAATGGAATATTCATTCTGCCTGTTTATTTTATGATATCCAAACATAGCCTTAGTAATACAAGAAATTCGTTCGTATTATGATATTCAAACATAGCTTTAGTAATACAAGAAATGCATTAGGGCTTGTTTGGATTGGTTTATTTGAGTTTATCTATGGCCACTTATGAACTGTTTTTCAGCTTATATTCATAAATTATCCAAGATAGCTTATGATAGCAGCTTATAGCTTAAACGAAAACAATTTGATTTGATTTTATATTTTGTTCTAGAAATAGTTATACAAAAATGCTTAAATGATAATCGGTTAATTAAGCTGTTTAAGCAAACATAAGTGCTCAAGTGGTCATGAGAAATACAAGTGGTAATTGTATGCTCATATGTTGATCAATGTTATAGAACTAAATACTGTTGAATATTTGTAATTTGAAAGATTTTTATAGGGTGTGGTATATTTGTTTTGCTAGGTATCTCTTGATGCAGCAAAGGTTATAAATGTAACTCCTCGATATGCTCGACTACGGGCTAATGGAAATGGATCGGCAAAAGGAGAAATTATTGGGTGGCAGAACATTGAACTTATCAGTGATAGGCCACTTGAAACCATGTTGAAAGAATTTAAGCAATTGAAAGATGAGTACCCCGACAGAATTCTCATAGCTTCAATCATGGAAGAGTACAATAAAGCTGCTTGGGAAGAGCTTATCGATAGAGTCGAACAAACTGGAGTTGTAAGATGTTTTTCTTGGCTTAGTTTGACAAGTTGACTATTTTTTTCGGTTGTTTTAAAAACTGAACTAGGCATCGAACCAGCGAGACCTCTGGATCATGGTTCAACCGCTTTAAATTGCTTGAACCGAGACAAAAACGTGATCAAGTTCAAAGTTCAATCAGTTGAAATGTCTTGTTCGGTTTTTTAAATCACTGATTTTTTCTAATCTTGAAAAATCTAATGGCCGACCTGTGATATTCTTTTAGGATGCAATTGAAATAAACTTCTCGTGTCCTCATGGTATGCCGGAACGCAAAATGGGTGCTGCTGTTGGGCAAGATTGCGCTCTCCTGGAAGAAGTTTGTGGATGGATAAATGCAAAAGCTACGGTTCCGGTTTGGGCCAAGATGACTCCCAACATAACTGATATTTCACAGGTTTGCATCGATTCGTGTCCCTCTATTATGATTACCCTTTCAATTTTTCATGATTATCATGTTTGTAATTTTGGGGATGCTTCTGTTTATAGCCAGCAAGGGTTGCTCTAAGTTCAGGATCCGAGGGAATAGCTGCTATAAATACAATCATGAGCGTGATGGGAATCAATTTGGATACATTACGTCCCGAGCCTTGTGTTGAGGGGTTTGCAATCTCACTCGAACCAAATTCATAGTTCTGCTTTGTTTGTTTCAATCTTCTTCAATCATCAGATTGATTTGTCTAAATTTTGTTGTTAGGTACTCAACTCCAGGCGGTTATTCTGCGAAGGCGGTCCATCCGATAGCCCTCGGGAAAGTTATGAGTATTGCAAAAATGATGAAAGCCGAGTTTGATAGTGAGAACTATTCACTTTCTGCCATTGGTGGTGTTGAGACAGGTGGTGATGCTGCTGAGTTTATTCTTCTTGGTGCAAATACTGTCCAGGTATAATGCAAGAATAAATTTGTAGGCCCTTTTGATACATATGGTCTGCCTGGTTCCATGTTTAGATTTTCAATCTCGCATCCCAATACTATTATCACTTCCTGTCACATCAGTTGAGAAAATGTGAATCTGACATGTATGGTAACATTCAATCACTTCCATTTTAAATTATCACTGATGTCTAATGTCTACGCATCAGTGTCGTGTTTGTGTCAATGCTTGATAGCCTGATGCTCTCCGGTCTTGAACATGAATTTCGCTGTGATAATATTTATACATAAAACAATCATGTGGTAAGCACTTATGCTATAAGCGCTAGGCAGTTTATTCAAACTATAACAAATAATAGACGATCCTTTATAAATTGCAGGTATGCACCGGCGTTATGATGCACGGCTATGGTCTTGTGAAGAAGCTTTCTCTTGAGCTAAAAGACTTCATGAAGAAACACAATTTCAAATCAATAGAAGATTTCAGAGGGTATAAATAGTTTCACAATTTTCGAAAATAAGCATGTTGAGTAATAATCTCTGTTATTAATTTCTGAATAAAAATGACAGGGCATCTCTTGAGTATTTTACTACACACACAGACTTGGTGAAAAGGCAGCAAGAAGCAATAAAGCAAAGAAAAGCAATAAAGAAAGGATTGCAATCTGATAAAGACTGGACAGGAGATGGATTTGTGAAAGAAAGTGAAAGCATGGTTTCTAATTAAAAGTCATTTCTTGTATGATTTATATATTTAGTTCATCATGCAAATGAGGTTGTGAAGGATATTGTTATCTTTGTTTATTAATAAATTGGTATTTGTCCTTCTAAGAACAGTGTCAAGTATTTAATATCAGGAACTAATAAAAGTATGTTTTATTTCTCTGTGATAACAATGTTCAAGAAGGCCCTACAAGGAAAAATACCAAATGGAGTGCGTGACTCTTACGAAATGTTGTGGTATAACTTTGGGTGCTTATGGAAACTATACTTCTAGATTTTTGAAGAGAAATTTTGAGTTTTAAAACTTCTATAGTATGTATCCTGCAAAACTTTTCCCACTAAAATTTTCAAAAATCCAACTCCCAAACAGAGTCATAAAGAAACAACTTATGATATTGATGGTGACATATTCAAAGATGTAATGAGATAGGTAAAAATAATCACAATTATTTGTGGGAGGCAAAAGATAAAGAGAAACGGATTTGCCGGATCAAATGAGGAAAGTTATGCAAGAACAAAGATCAATCAATGGTGAGATAGGTTTCCATAACACTTCTTACTTCAATGAAGCATTACTTGCTAAGAAATTTTGAAGGATTCTAAATGATTGGGAATCCCTTATCCACAAGTTCAATAAAGCAAAATACTTCCCCAAGAAAATTAATGATAAGTCTATTAAGGTTCGGGAGGACCACTAGCCACTCTATTAAAACAAGTTTAAATTCCTAACTTGAAAACTGTTCTGGTCTAGGTCTGCATTTGGCCCACTGAAGGGCAAGGTTCAGTCCGACGCTCCCTTAAAGAAGGCCCAACAACATGGCCCAACTCCTAGTCGTTGGGGAACGTTTTCCTCACGTGTCTTCCATGAGCATGTGGTCAACTGCCTTCAGATTACTACAAAATCTCTTGCCATTTGCGGAGAATCGGTCCTCCATTGACCAAAGAATGCGAGACAGTCAACCAGGATAGTGGGCACGTGTTGTTCCACTTCACACGCTTGAGTCCTAGAAGCCATTCATTATGGGCCTGGATCTTCAGCCCATAATGAAGACTTTGGCACAACGTTGGGGGCTATAAATATCCTATTTCATTAGAGGGTCAGGTACATTTATTCTTCACACTTTCATTACTTGCATTCTGCTCTGAACCTTACTTTGGCATCGGATTGTCTTGCAGGTACCCCACCACTTCTCCTTCACCGCAGTTCAGTCCAAGCTTGTGGGCCATCGACGATCCCTTCTAGGCAGGTATAATCAGTGGTGTCGTCCGTGGGAACTAGCTTCCCCGTCTTTCATTAGCTTAAGACCAAAGAAACTTTCAACCTTCCAATAAACATGGCCGACTAAATCAACAACGGTGACAAGAACGTTTAATCGCCGACATTAACAACAACAACAACATCGGCGATCACGAACATGACATCAGGGACGAAAGAACTGCTTCCTCCTCCACCCGCCCGCATCCGCTCAACAATCCTCACCTGCACGTCGATGAACCCGCGGTGTACCAGGAAATCGCGGTGCCCGCCAATGCGGATCCTACAACTCAGGCCTTGTTCGCGATGATCAATCAAACTAATTACATGATCTTTTCACAGGGTGAACGCCTGGCAATGCTGGAGAAGACCCGCCGGTCCCCCAGAAAATACAAAAGACTTGACTCACATACCCCGTCTCCACGACAACGTGAGCCCCGTTCAAGATCTCCTCTGTGGAGACACCAACAGGAGGATTCTCGCAGCTCTCTTCCTGTCGCATCGGGCAAGGCCGTCGACTGGAGAAGACCCAACCTAAGATTGTCAAGAAGTGCGATCGCACCCCGCCACACAAGGAATGACGATCCCCCATTCCTAAGAGGAATAAGGGCAGAGAGCACCCCGGGAAGACAAGGCCTCGGGAAAGAGACTCTCACCGGAGGGGGCCCCGTTTTGATTCTTTCCCGTCTCGCTCTCCAGACAAAAGCGATGAAGACGACTTCCGCGGTCCACTGTCTCGAGAAAATATTGAGGCCCTTATTCCCAAGGGGATGGAGAAACCTTCCCCCTTGAACACTTATGATGGCACTCTGGATCTAGACGACCACCTCGAAGGCTTCGAGGCAATGCTCCACTTTTACAACGTCGGGGGTGTCATCAAGTGCAGGCTATTCCCCACGACTTTGAGGAAAACTGCTATGGGCTGGTACATAAACTTTTCCCCCGAGTTCATCACATCATGGAAGAGTCTGAAGACCCAGTTCCCCGGTAGCTTCACGGCCTCACAACGACACCCCAAGACTGAGTCGTCCCTCGAGGAAATTGTTTAGGGGAGCGACAAATCCCTCAGAAATTACATCGAGAGGTTCAACCATAGGGCCATCCAAGTCCACACAACTGACCGCATGAAGAGGTACCTTCTCGAGAGAGGACTCCGCCAGGGAAGCGATTTCTGAAAAGAAGACGGCATCTAGAGCCCTAGATCGTTGGAGGAATTCCTCCAGAAAGCTCAGTCCTACATCATGTACGAGGAAAAAGAGGCCGACAATAGTGTTCGCGATCCCAAAAACCTCCAAGGACCCAACGCCTCAAGGAACAACGATGTCAGGCCATCTCGTCGAGCAGGGAATAAGATAAGAGACGATAAACCTCATGACTCCCGCGAGCACAGAGGCCCGGCTGGGCGATTCACCAAATACGCCCTGTTAACCGCTCCCCGCGAGTGAATCCTTGCGGAGTGTGCCAACATTGAGTTCAAGGACGGTGGGGCCCAAGACCCAAACCCACAGTTCTTAAGTCAGGGGTCGACATGAGCAAATACTGCTAGTACCACTGAAGCCATGGCCATGTTACTGAGGACTGCGTCCACCTGAAGGGCGTCATCAAGACCCTCATCAAAGTAGAAAGACTCAGGTAGTATAAGAAGAACGACGCCCCTCATCGTGATAACCTCAAAGTAAAAGAGGTCAAGGAGGAGGCACGACCCTTCAACGAGGCTGGTCCCCTCAGAGTCGCTTTGTGCGTCTCACGTCCCTAAGACTTTTACTTCCTCTAGGTCCTCGAGGACAATGAACCTTTGTTTACCCACAACAGATGGGAGAAATTCCCATCAGCCATGGTCATATATGGTGGGGAATTCAGTGGCTTCTATGTGAACTCGGCAAAGAGAAAGCTTAATTAGCTTATAGATGCAACCTTAGTCCAGACTGTGACCCTCGATAGATTTCATGGAAAATCTGAGCCAATCACCTTCTACCTCGAGGAACTTCCTGGTGGAGCTTCTAACTCAAACATCCATTTGCTCGTGAGAGCAAAGATGGCCAACTTTAACGTGCATCACATCCTGGTCGACGAGTCTAGCTCGACAATTCCCATTTATCAACGTACGTAGGGTCCGAGGTGCAAGGTTTCAATGACTCAACCTCCAAGCCATGGGGTTATGTAGAGCTGCTTGTCATGTTCGAAATAGAAACTGCCTCCAGGCAAGTCAAGGTTCGTTTCCTGGTGGTCGACTTCCCGTCTCTCTACAATTGCATCCCGGGGAGACCAATACTCGCTGAGCCGACCACCGTACCCTCCACGATGAACTTGAAGATGAAGTTATACACTAAGAGGCGACGCGTCTCCACCATCCACGGGGACATCGAAGCTACGAGAAGATGTTTCAATGAAGATTCAAAGGGAGAGAACACGGTCGACACAAAGCCACAAGCTGCCAACGGAGCAACCACCTCGACATCAGCAACATCCTTAGCCGGCAAGCCCGCTCAAACTGAAGAACGAGAAGCTCCACCAAATGACGAATCCTTTGACTTCGACACCCACTTCACGCTATGAAGTCGAAGCCCCCAACAGCGAACATGATCCTCTTTTGTCCCATTCCCGACAGAGACTTTGAAATCATCCCATTGACACAAATCCAAATAAAGGAGTGAAGATTAGAGTTAGACTCCCCGATCTGGAGAGGAAGAATTTCAAAGCCGACCTAAGAATAAATGTCGATCTGTTTGCATGGAGTGCTATAGAAATGCCCGGACTTGATCCTGAGGTCGCCTGCCACCAGCACGTTGTAGATCTTGTCGCTAGGGCAGTAGTTCAACGTAGGCGTAGGTAGTCCCCCGAGAAAGTGGAGGTTGTTGTAAAAGATCTCCTAGAGGCAAATTTTATTTCTGAGGCTCGATATTCAACCTGGTTCTCCAACGATGTACTTGTTAAGAAAAATAATGGAAAATGGTGTGTGTGTGTGTGTGTGTGTGTGTTAATTAAACTGATCTCAATCGGGTATGTCCCAAAGATGTATATCCTTTACCTAATATTAACATGCTGGCTGATAAATTGGCCGGCTATAAACTTGTCATTTATGAACGCATACTTAGGTTATAATCAAATTCCCATGGCGATGAGCGACAAATAATGCACGACTTTCATGACCGGGTCAGACAATTACTACTACAACTTAATGCCCTTCGGTCTAAAAAACACAAGCGCAACATACCAGCGGAAGATGAACAAAGTCTTCCACGACGAGATCGGGGACATGCTCGAGGTATATATCGATGACATGATTGAAACAACCGGCTGAAAATCATCAAACAATGAAGTCGCCATCGAACGTCTTTTATCCCACATGAAGGGAAAGGTAAACATCGAGAAAACCTGAGAAGAGAGAAGTCACGGTCTTGCAACCGAGAGATCGGGTAAGGGAGTCTGTTACGCGAGGAGAAGGTATTAGCACCCCACACGCCCGTAGTACTCTATGGTATCCACTCTTGTTATCTATCTTATGGGTGTGCTTAATCTATGCATATTGTTTGTTATACTACTGAGGGGAGAATGCATGAAAAAGAAAGGGGAAAAGAATGTAGGGAAAATAAAATTGTGCTCGTTCGGGCCCTACCCCGATGCCTACGTATCCCTTTTAAGGAATCAGAGCAGCCATAGTTCAGCTCATATGTTTTTGTTGGTTTATATTTTTAATGAACAATATTAATTTCGTCTTCTGCCGCAACTCGACCTTTGGAGACTTACGC